AAAGTTCGTTTTCAACTTAATGACTTCATTCTGTGAGAAATACTCCCTGTTATACCCGTCCCAGTATGGGTTTTGAAAAAATAGAGGAACAATTACGTTATTGGAAGATCTCTCTGACCATATCCACAAGAACATAGATAACAACAACTTTGTGTTAGCTCTCTTTCTGGATCTAACAAAGGCATTTGATTCAATTAACCACAAAATACTGATAAAGAAATTACTACGCATTGGCTTTAGGGGCCCTTTTATTGAATTTTTAACTGACTACCTCTCGGCCCGTCACCAAATGGTAAGCATTTGTGACGTTAAAAGCGATTTATTGCCAATTAGTACGGGCGTCCCTCAAGGTTCCATTCTCGGTACTCTTATTTTTAATATTTATGTAAATGACCTTGGCAGTCTACCATTTTCTTCGACGGTATATCAGTACGCGGATGACACTGTTCTGGTTTTTGCAAGTAATGATGAAGCCACAGCGTTATCGTATTTTCAACGCGATATACATGGGTTGATGGCTTGGTTCAGAGCTAACCAAATCTTAGTTAACGCGGACAAAACGAAACTAATGCATTTTCATAATCCTCACAAAGTATTAAATTTGTCTACGCCTTTAATGCTACATGAGTCTGACTGCAGAGACTGTGAATGCACACCTTTAGAATATGTGTCATCTGTAAAGTATTTAGGTCTTTTTTTCGACAAATTTTTAAACTGGGGCACTCACATAGACTACCTTGCGAAGCGTCTTCGCGTGGTTTCCGCATACTTGTTTCATCTGCGTATGGTATCTGATGTAAGTTTACGGATGAAGGTGTACCAAGCGTTAGGTGAATCGGTGCTCCGTTATGGTATAACGATATATGGAGCATGTTCAAATTACAAGAAAACAAAATTAGATAATATTCTACACAATGTGTCCAAAAATATTGCGTAAAGAACAAGGTGGAGCGGTGTAGATCCTGATTTAAGAATGAGGTCTCTTCTAATTCTTTCCATTGAACGACTGTACATCTATGTAGTTTGTCTAAAACATTATTATAACGACAAATTCAAGGTACCATTAAAAAAGCAAAGAACACTAAGGAAAACAGAGCGGTTTGTTCAGCCTAGGATTTTTACGAATTACGGAAAAAGAGTAAGATCATTTTATGTCCCATACTTTTTTAATAAATTACCTGACGATCTATTTTGTTTACAGTCATTCAGTGTTGTTAAAAGATGCCTAAAATATTGGTGTCTTACTCATACTAACTAGTTCAGTACGTGCGTCTCAGTGCAGACTTTGTTATGTTTTAATATGTGTGCGGTTGCATGTGCAGTTGCATTTTGATATTGTATAATTTTGACTTCTGTTGGCTGTCGGGACCCGCCCACAAGCACCTTCGTGCTTTTGCGGGCCCGTACGTATATGTATGTTTTCGTTCAGAAATAAATAAATAATAATCTAAAAGTAATCTAAAAGCAAGATAAAAAAGGGGGATTAAAATATTAATTTTGCATAAATAAATTTCTGGGAGCTGCATTTTCGACGCCATCATTTCTGAACTGATTGCGATGGTTAAGACGCAAATAAACAAAACAAAAAAAGTGTCCTTTTTATAATTAAACGCCGTTAAACGCTTTTTTTTCTGACAAAATGTTTACACAGTTTCAACAGGAAATTTACTGGCACAAGTAGTTGTTTTAATACAACATTTGCTGTGGGGTTATTTTATGGGCGGAAGCTATGCAAATCTTTTTTTTTTGTGACTCGCGGGCTGGGATAATGAAAGATATGTATGTACTTTTGGGAAGACGTTAAACACAAAATCTCCGATGACTTTCAGTAGCGCAGGAAGTAAATTGATGGCACATCCCTTTGGGTGTCCAATGTCAGCACTGATTATTCGCTTGACACTGTTCGATTATTGAAGGGTCTTCGCAGCTCCCAGACTGCCCCTGCGGATGAAGGCAGCATGTCACGAGCTTCGGTTGCCAGAACCCAGCAATAAAACTGAAAGCCGTTTACAAATCCCTGTAACGCCGAATTAGAGCGCAGCTCTTGAGGAGGAGGAGGGAAAGGTACGGCGAGGAAGCTAATCCCCCCCTCCTCTCCTGCTCGCCTCCCATTTAGGCTAACATTTTCCGCAAAATTTACCGGGAAAATTTTCCCGCTAAATGAAGCGGGAAATATTTTCGGCTAAATTCAGCGGAAAATATTTCGCTATATTTAGCGGGGAAATTAAACCATAATGCACCGCGCGGTTACGGCGACGCCGACGCCGACGCAGACGCTGTTCAAGCCGGAAACGGCCGCCTAAGGCTCTAGAAGTCGTCGCTTCTTTCAAGACGTGACGATAATGGTGCCGATAATTTTAATAGCCATCACTCTCCTGGAAACGAAGTATGCCACTTCGACGAATCAACCAATGAGGTGGTGTGGAGGACCCGCTCGAGTGAGCTGAGGACCGAAGGGAACCTTTTGTACACACAAACTAGATAGCCACCGAAAACTTAAGACACAACAAAACTGATTTCTTGAGTTCACGATACTTGTATTGATGTTCGATATTTGTAGTTGTTGGCTAGCTTTCCACAATCTTATTGACAAAGGGGCGTTATTAAATGACCAAACCTCGCCACGCCTTCGTTTCTCAAGTTGCCAGCTGCAGTAGCCGCTGGCAGCTTAAAGAGCAGCTCCGGTCAATATTTTGGATTTTGGAAAACGACAGTTTCTGCTTAGTCAGTGTCGCTGACTTGCAAGGTACATTTTTTCTCGCAATTGTTTGCAGTTTTATAAATATCACGTCTAACAGCTTGGTTTCCGGATTCTATGACAATACCGAAATTATATCCTAGCGAGGGATGGCAACACTAATTATCAGCTGACCACCGCGACATAACGTCACGGTGGTGCTGAGGTTCACGCACTGATCACAATTGCAGTAGTCAGGATCGCGGATCGAGGCTTGTCTTGGTAGGGTCGAGTGGCACAGTCGATGCATATGATGCATATGATGCATATGATTCTCTGGGGAAAACAAGAAAAATGCCATATCCCCGCTTAGCTGTTGTCCGCACTGAAACTTCTTGGCTGCTGTTCAGGAAGGCAACCAAATAGCTTGTGCACAAACATTAAAACTTTGACATCCCTCAGATTTCTTATAAATATAATCTTTTGCGGTCGAGAGTGACTCCGCTGGGCGAAAAACGGTAGTACAGCTCAATGAGACAAGATCGAGTCACCCAGTGTTAGAGCGGAGTCTGGCGGTTTCGATGAGTTGAGTTTAGCAGAGCTTGCCAGCTCTGCCGTAGGTGCTCCGGCACGTTTGACTTTCTTAATCGGCGTTCGAACGCTTGACAAAAATTCCAACTCCAAACACCCATTATAATGATTGCAGAAAATCATAAAGTACTCAGCTTTTATTACAGCGTACAAGCTTCAATATTGCTACACCCTAAGAAATGTCCGGGCGTCTACTTACCCGCAATACACCCAAAGAGCCAGTGATTGCCATCTAGGAAATAAGCTCAGCAAATGATGAGGCGCAACCGTTTAGACCTCAAAATGAATTACGTAATGCAAAGCGGCATACTTGCATTGCGGAATGCGACAGCGCAGACTTATTTTTAAGATCTAAACAGATGTTCCGCCTCATCATTCGCTGAGCCGATTTCCTAGATCGGAATGATTGGCTATTTGAGTGTATTGCGGGTAAGTATACGCTCAGGCATTTCTTAGAGTGTACTTATGTTTGTTTCTCCCATAGGTTTACGTCTATTGCCTCGTGTGAAGCAATGACCGCCGGTGGTGCCTTCGACGGGCTCCCGACTCGCGATACCGCCTACTACAATATAGATCAGTGGGTGTTGAGGGAATTGTTGCTTCTTGGCGTTCCGAGATATCGATCAGTCTCAACAAATCTCAACACTTTTATTTTTAACTACACACACCTTCCAAACAGACGAGCCACTTTCTCGTTCTCCGATCCGTAGCGTTCCAGCTTTCGTTCTGTCCGTCTCCACTTTCCCAGCTGTTGATCTTCGCGGCTGCATCCGGCCGCTGCGGGTACGAAGTTTACATCTCGACCCCCGCGCGCGATCGCAAATCGTCTCCGCCGAGACAAGCCGTGGTGTGAGGTTCAGCTCGCTCCTCGCGTGCATCCTCTTCGCAGAGGGAATCCGATGCCATCCTCGCGAAAGTTCCAACACACTCCCCACCGAATGGGCGCGAGCACATTCTAGAGTTCCGTCATTTCTAGGGGGTAGATTAGTTGCACTGGACTTCGCAGTACTGTACCGCGATGTACGCGAATCTCGCATGAACGAACCCTTGCATCGCGTCCATAAAATACCTTCTCAACCTTTCCAAGCTTCCAAAGCAGTCCTGGAAGTGGCTCTTTTTGGGTCAGGTTCGATGACTGGAGTCGACCGCTGATCCTCAGCAATCCATCTTCATCGATGAAAGTGCGAAAGCCACGCAAGAGCGACCCAGGTGGGGGCGACATTCTCTTTGCTGCACAATCAATATCGGAGGCAAACGCTGATCTTTGTGCTCTCGTGATCCAGTGTGTTTGCGCTACGTGGATCTACTCGGCGGTCAGTGGTCCCATCCTTTTTTCTGAAGATCTGAGGTTATAGATGAACCGTGAAATCCAGGCCGTTCTTCTGTGGAGTTTCAAGGCCGAGCTGAACCTTGAGATGTCCAGCACCTCTTCCGGTACAGTTGCAGTTACCTCGAAGAGCTCTGCTCTTAGAGTCCTCTCCTCGAGCCCGTCGTGGGAAAGCTCCCGGTCACTTTCACCAGGCCACTCTGTCGCGGGCAGTAGCAACCAAGTTGGTCCGTTCCACCAGAGCAGTGCAGACAGCAGTCGATCCGCGGACAGCCCTCGTGTCATCAGGTCGGCAGGATTTTCCTTCCCCGGGCAGTGGTGCCACATTGCCTTCTCGCTGTTTGCTTGAATTTCTTGTACTCTATTTTTCACGAACGTCTTCCACCTGGATGGCTCTCCCCCAATTCAATGCAGAGCGATCATGGAATCCGTCCAGAAGTGGACTTCATCCACTTTGATTTCGAGGTGTGTCCTTACGTACTTAAACAGCTTCGATCCAATCAAGCATGCCATGAGCTCTAATCTAGCAAGGCAGATTTCCTTTAGGGGCGACACGCGGCACTTAGCCAGTAAGAGTGTCGCGGTCGTTTCTCCGGTGTCATCCGTTGAGCAGATGAAGATCATGGATCCGTATGCGGAGGTGCTGGCATCAGAGAACACGTGCAACGTTCGATGTACAACGTTGCCCTTCAGCTCGCTGTCGTAGAATCTGGGCACGTTAATTTGCTGAAGTGTGGTGAGCTCGTCGCACCAGTTGTTCCAGTCACTCATCAGTTCTTCCGGCAGTATATCGTCCCAGCGCAGATTCAGCTTACAGATTTCCGGAAACAAGATCTTGGCTCGCACCACGAAGGGGGAGAGGAAACCAAGGGGGTCATACAGTCGTGCTGTCGTCTGGAGCACGAAACGCTTGGTGTTTCTTCGTTGGCGGGCAAACTCAATCACGTGTTCTGCCGAAAAGGAAACGCTGTCTTCATTCGGCTTCCTCGTCAGACCGAGCACCTTCAACACACCCGTCTGTTGTCCCAATGGTCTCTCATCGGGACCCTTGTCTTAAAGCATTTTCGACAGGGCTGCGCTATTGGAGCCCCACTTATGGAGCTTCATCCCCGCTGCTCCACATATCTCGATCGCCTCGTTGAAGAGTGTCCGGGCGTCCTCTTCACTTTCCGCGCCCGTCAAGAGGTCGTCAACGTAGACCGATCTACCCAGTCGCTCTGCTGTCTTGGGGAATACGCTCTCCATTTCTCTGAAGTGATGTAGGCTCGCAGCCAACAGAAAGGGGCTGGACGTGGCTCCGAAAATGACCCTCGTCATACGCCAGACTTCCACCTCCGGAGTTGTCTGGTTCGGTTGAGGAAGTTCTTTGTACCAGAGGAACCGCAGAGCATTGCGATCCTCCGGGTTTACTCCAATTTGAAGGAAGGCCTTTTCGACGTCCGCCACCAGTGCCACCGGGTGTTGCCTGAAGTTGAGAAGCAGGCTAACAATGTCTGGGTCCAGGTTCGGACCGCTCTCCAGGTTGTCGTTTAGTGACTTGCAGTTCGGTCCGTGCGAAGACGCGTCGAAAACAATTCTCGTCTTCGCCGTACTGCTGCCTTCTCGCAGAACAGCTTGGTGGGGCATGTAGTACACACGTTCACCCGAGTTATCGTCTCTCTCGACCCTCTCAGCCATTCCGTTCTCGACGTAAAGCCGGACTGCCTGATTATATCTCTGCATGAGCTCAGGATTCTTGCTCAGCCTCTTTCGTTGGCTTTCGAGTCTTTTCCAAGCCATCTCTCGGTTGCAATCAAGCTTTACATCAGGTTTCCAAGGGAGGCTCACTTCGTATCTTCGATCAGATTTGGTGATGCTTTTCTCAAAGCGCTGCATGATGTCGCTATCGGAGTGATCCTGAACCTCTGCGTCCACAACTCCCATACTCTCAAGCTCCCAAAATCCTCTAAGAACAGCCGTGTTCTCCTGGTCGCTCACGGCAGCTCTGAGGACGATCACTTGGGAACAGTTGACAACAGCTGCAGTCGCCTGGGAGCGTCCATGTACTGCCCAACCAAAGGCGGTCTCCACTGCCGTCAGGTTCTCGCTCAATCTACGGACTCTTCCCGTAACGCACCCCCAGTAGTGCTCCGATCCTAAGAGGATTCCTACGCCGTTGCACTCGAGTCCGTTCAGGTCGTCACCAACCGTTAGTCCGAGCTCCTCCATATTCACCATGATGTCTTCATCCGAGCCTGGAAGTTCTTGTTCGCAGATAGAACGCGTCTCGAGGGCGTCTATCTCGTATGTCTGGCCGGTTAGACGATTACTCAAAACTACTTGAACTCTACGATACGTTTGTTCGCTAGTCTTGCCACCGAACACTCCTACGGTAAGAACCTCCGTTCCGAGAAGCTTGCAACCAAGACCCCTCGACAGCTCCTCTGTAATGAAGGAGCGCTGACTACCACTGTCGAAGAGAATGCGGGCCAACTTTCTTCTGTTCTTGCTTTCCACCCACGCGGTAACCGTTTGCAGAAGGACAGCCGGTTTGTTGCCCTTCTCGCTCACATGCAGGTTGAGAGGCGTCCTGTCTTTCTTTCGCGTTTCATCCAATCCGCTGGCAGCTCGTCCCGGCAAGTAATCTGGATCACACATAGTGGATACATACCTTCCTCCACACCTGTCACAACGGAGCGTGCCGCGACACATTCTTGCCGTGTGGTTCGGCTTTGTGCACCGGAAGCACCTCCGATTGGCTTGCAGCCTGCGCTTCTTTTCATTTAGTTCGATCTTCGCGTTACAGTCTGGTGTGCTGTGCGCCTTTGATTTGCAAAGAAAGCATTCCATGCTGTCCGTCCTGCCATGCAAGGCCGTAGCGGTAGCGTTCCGAGTCTTGACGTTGTTTAGGCGCCTCTTCGGATGTTCATGCATGGGGAAACAATGTGCAGGCTTACCGCCGGCGTCTTCGTGTTGTTCCTTGGATGTTTTCTCCCTGATCTCCACCTCGATCTTGAGAAAGTTCAGCAGCGCGCGCACCTCCTCAACGGGTCCTTGCTCCGTTGCTGAGTCGGAGCCGATGTCGGTGGCTGATGTTCCCCCGGCGATGGCGTTTTCGGCGTTCCCCGAAGACATCTTGCGGTTGAACTCCAGCCTCATGTCGTCCGGAAGCGCACGAAGCAGAACCGGGTAGAGCATGGCACAGTATGACTGATCCGTCACACCCAACGCCCGAAGGGACCGGTTGTGAGCCTGGACGCTGTCGTAGACCCGCCGCAGAGCTCTGACGCTGCGCGATGACGGCACCTAATTGATATCCGTGAGCCCTGTCATGTGGTCCTGGATCAGCTCCGCCTGGTTCCCGAACCGCTGCTGCCGGAGCTCGATGGCGTGGGCGTAGCATTCAGCGGTTGGGTGCAGTCCTGCGATGGCGGCTGCTCCATCAGCAGTCAGGGCTGACCTCAAGTAGTTGAATTTTTCTGAGGACGATAGTTCGGGATTTTCATGGATGGCGGTCTGAAATCGCTCCCACAAGGGCTGCCAATTTCTTCGGTGTCCGTTAAACTTGATGAGCTCTAATTTGGGAAGCTTGATTTTTGATGTCACCTTTCTTGCTTCCCGCTCTTCGTTCGGTTTCCCGCTTGTTCGTTGGCTGTCCTCCGGGCTTTTCACTTTCCTTTTGAGCTTCGCTAAGCACGTGACGATCTTGTCAGAATAATCGATCACTTGCGTGAATTCTGCTTCTGCTTCTTTCTCAGAAATCAACGACTCGATCGCGGCATCTACGTGGTTGAGTTGGTCCCGAGCGAGGCATAGACGTTCGATCAATATATCGAGATCATCGACGGTCGGCTTAGCTGATTGTAATAAATCCTGTGCCTCGCTGAGGAGCCTCGTTACTTGCGTTCGATGCGTTTTTCGTTTTTTCTTGAGGACGTCCATTGCCGTTCAGCCCTGGCTTGCAGTGCTGCTTGATTGTGTCGGTCTATCGTAGATGTTGATGTTGATTACCAGGTTTCGCCCGTTCAGTCGTTACGTTCCCTTCTCTGTCTGCTGGCGATTCGATCACACCTTGCTCGTCGGCTTCATTTGTAGTGCAGCAGTTTCTTTCCCGGGTTTCGGCACCAATTATTTTGTTGAGCGAATTGTTGCTTCTTGGCGTTCCGAGATATCGATCAGTCTCAAGAAATCTCAACAAATCTCAACTCTTTTATTTTTAACTACACACACTACACACACCTTCCAAACAGACGAGCCACTTTCTCGTTCTCCGATCCGTAGCGTTCCAGCTTTCGTTCTGTCCGTCTCCACTTTCCCAGCTGTTGATCTTCGCGGCTGCATCCGGCCGCTGCGGGTACGAAGTTTACATCTCGACCCCCGCGCGCGATCGTAAATCGTCTCCGCCGAGACAAGCCGTGGTGTGAGGTTCAGCTCGCTCCTCGCGTGCATCCTCTCCGCAGAGGGAATCCGATGCCATCCTCGCGAAAGTTCCAACCGTGGGTTCACGTCGCCGTGTGTTGCTTGACTACAAAGTAACCAGCTTGCCACCTTCTAAAGAGTCGCTGTTGGCATCTTTAAAATTGTTTTTCTTAGAATACATCGATTCAGTGTGGAGTGATATTTCGGCTGTTATAATACTTCGTATCACTAAAGAGAAACCGGTCATTTATCTTGGTTTAGTTTTCGACTGGTTTACCTTTAAGCAACGCAGGATATGGCTCATTATTTGGAGGCTTCTTGGCTTGTAATGTGTTCGTCGGTGTTCTCATCGGATTTTCTCGCAATCTTTTTGACAAGGGAGCGATAATGTTGTAAAACCCGGGACATGGTCAGTCCTGCGAATCTTCTTCTCGCTCCTCAGCCTCAAATATTTTGGCATTAGTTATACTGGTTATTGGTCTCTAAGAAAAATACCAATAACAAATAACAAAATAAAAAGTTTGACATATCAAATATGTTCCACTTTTCTTAAGCATTAATTGATTTCAGTTTCGAGTGAAATTAATAGCACTCAACTGCTCACAGCAGCAATCAGATCTTAAAGGTGCTAAAAAGAGGGAAGCGCAGAATAGCTTCCCAGCTATAAATTGTTCAATTAAAAAGGAACTTAAAAAGACAAAAACCAACAACATTTGGTAACACGTTCAAGTTCTAGAGCGGTATTAGCTCCAATAAATATCATAATATTTTAATATTTTTGACCAAGTGAGGTAGACGTAATTCTTCGTCGACTGCACATAATGCCAGAGCATACTTCAGAGCTCTAATTAGTAAGGTAAGTGAGCTATGGGAATATAAAACAATTTATATTTTGTCATGTATTGACTCTTATTCAAACATGTATATAACACGTAAATGGTAATGAGTTACATACACCTAGTTGCTTCTTTAGGTAAAAATAAATATATTCGGCTCGGTTACTTTTTTTTTACGAAAGGAACGAGTAGCATACTTAGCTACGTTTAAAGCCAAAGAACGCGTAACGGTACTTCGTTACTTTTGATGAGTAATCTGTACAACCCCGTTTAAACAGCCTCGTTTTAGTTCTAAACTGAATGTCCGTGTATTGCGACAAAGGCAGATGAGCAACCAGAATACAACTAAACAGTATGAGAGTAAAGCCAGGTTTATCGTTGAACACATCAGTGGAACTCTACAGCTGAAAATGTCCTTCACGCAGATAACACAATAGGGTTCGTTGGTCGAACCTTTTAAAATCGTGTACACTTAATGTTCACTCGGAGGCTACTAAAGCGCGGAGGCACGTAAACCAATTTCAATTTCAAAATTCGGAAGCACAGAGAACTAAAAAGAAAAGGTAATCCCAGATGCACGTGATCTTTCTGATGCACCCCTTTTCAAAAGTTTTGAAAACTGGGCCAGTTCAAACAGGCTTATTGCAACTGGTTAAATTGGTTCAACTGGACAAACTGAAAGTGTGCATACTGGTCTAACTGTGAAACTTTGCATACCAGTCTTACTGTGAAAATATGTATACTGGTCCACTAATACAGTTAAACCTGTTTAACTGGTAATATTTACAGCACAGGCCGTAAACTTATAAAATTCACTTTATTTCCACAAAAAAACACACACTTCACACCGCGAAAATAAACATAAAAACATGTTTAGACTGTAAAAAGAAATCCCAGGATATTATTAATGTGTCCCAGCCGGTCGGCGAGATTTTCCACATCTTCTGGAGTGTCGTGGTTCCGGTGGTGGATAACATAGTACCCCAAGGCATCTGAAATAAGAATAAACATCAGTATTTAGAGCCATGGTAGATTTATTTGCATCCGTCGTTCTAAAACGGTAGGTAACTAATGCCACGAATAAAAAAATATGCACTATCATAAACAGTATGAGAGGGAATATGGAAGCGTGCGCCAACCGTACATATGGTGCCAGTCTAGCGGCAATTAAGTATAACGTAGTGTCTAGAGTACCGTCCGACGCCACTCCTGCAGAGCGTTCAAGTGCCGTCCGACGGTACGTTCAAGTGCCGTCCGACGGTACTCCACTCACGTGTTCAAGTGCCGTTCGAAAGTTTCGTATAAAAGAAGTTCTCAAAACGAGTTTTCCGAATCGCAGTGTAGCTTAGTGCTAAGATGTCTGGCTCATAAGCAAGTGATCCTGGCTTCGATACCCGGTGCGGGTTTATTTTCGGTTTTTGGTTTCTCGAACATTTTATTTTGCCGACGAATTAGGTGGTATTTACATTAGTTTTTTTACAATTAACACACACACACACACACACACACACACACACAAAAACGAATGTTGTTGCCGAAATTTCGCTGAACGAAATGGTATGGGACTTTGTTTCCGGAGGTGCATGGGGTTCAGCGGGGCTTGGTTTGCCGGCTGGACGCCGCGAAGCGGCGTGAACGAAGGGACCAAATGGGTCAATATTTTTGTAATTAGCAGCCAGCCGTATACTGTAGCCGCGAAGCGGCGTGAACGCGGGCGGGGTAGGGGGGGGGGGGGGGGGGTGTTAAAGAGCTCCCAAATGATACACGCGCCGTCCGACTCTTTCGGACGGCACTTGTAGGCGCGATTGGAGTGCCGTCGGACGGCACTGTAGACACAGCCTAAGTATAAACCGCATGTAAGCGATTTGGCGAGCGACGAGACAAGCGATGGCGATCCGCTTCGCTGTCGCTCGGTCACTCGCGCGACGAGACAAACCGCATGAAAGCGTTGGCAGCAAGCGACCAAGGCGATGAGCGATGATTACTCTTCTAGAAATCCAAAAACCGAGTGACGCGACGAGCCACCGTGGGAAATCTCCGTCGCTCGTCGATGTCACCGTCGTTCGCTTAATCGCTTACATGCGGTTCAGCCATGCACATGCACCCGATTATGAAAATGAATCCAAACGGTCGAGCCTGCTTACCTGCCTCGCTGGCGCGGAGAGAGAGGCCGCTAGCCGTTGCGATGCAGTCATTTCGCCCGCAAGCGAGTAGAACTCCGGTGGAGGACGTCGTCAGCCACAAGAACCATCGGTAGAGGCTGCGCTCAAGGCTCCGGCAAACTATCTTATACAAACGCAGCTTAAAGACAACTTGTAACCTCACCAAGCAGAACAGCAGCGCCAACAACCAAACGCCCAACCGCCCAACCGTCGCGCGGTCAAGCCAGATCCGTTTTGTCTTTTTTTGGTTCCCGGAGCAGCCGAGGAGCCGCCGACGCCGACTCAAAACAGGTGCTTCGAGCGGGCGCGAGGGCCGCGCTGATTGGCAAGCACGCTCCCTCTCCTGGGGCCCTAATCTTGACACTTGGCGAAAAAGTCGGCAAGAAATCTGGCGTCTGTGATTGGCCGACGCCGCACTTGACCTTGGCGCCGGCCAATCATAGCCATCAGATGTCTCGCAGTCTTTCTCGCCAAGTGTCCACATTAGGGCCCCCGGCATGTGAACATCTCTCCCCTTTCAAGGCATCCGCGCAGCGCGGGGGGACACTGCATGACCTCCGGTCCCACGGCACAGGCGCATTCTATGCGCCTGACTCATAGCCGCACTGCCACATTTTTCCGCGCTTTTAAACATCACGTGGGAGGCTCCCTGCCTCGGGCACTTGCGCTGGAAGTGGCTTCTCGGTGCAAGCCAGGGTGGATAAAGGCCGCGGTGAAAAGCGGGGAAGTTATAAAGTCCAAA